TAAAAGAAGGATTCCATTATGTACTTGTACTTAATATGATAGCCTCCATCTCCAAAATTAAATACAATTCTATTCTTTGTAAATTCAATACAAAATCCCAGTTTGACCAGCACGTTTGATTTGAAAAGGAGAAAGGACAAATTAACTCACACTGTGCATTACGGGTTCTTGCTGCTCTGAGCATCTTGTGGTGACTGACCCATTTTGATGTGCCAGGAACCCCTTTTGTTGTGCCAATAACCACCTCCTAAATTGTGATATATATACTTTTAGGTTTTTCACATACTGTTTTTTTCTAAACCATGGAGGGCTGGTAAATACCCCTTAGTAGATCCCATCCTACCCACCTACAACTCACACCTGCACTTCCACCCTCAACCCCAACAGCAAGGTCAGAAAGACACTTGGTGTCCTCTTCTGGGGGTTGGGGTAGTAGCATGCTTTGGGAGGACCAGGGAGCCATTTCCAGGAAATAACTCATGTCAAATCCTATCAATTCTGGTGGTAAGAATGGGGGTCTTTTTCTGAAAATAAAAATTAGACCTATTTATCCAGGAGAGTTTCCTGAAGGCTTGATGTGTGAAGAGATGGAATAAAGTTTCTGGTGAACTTTAGAAGGGGGCTGAGCAGATATTTCCTTCACGCAGTTACATTTTACATAAAATTTAGAATTGCAGGTTATTAATGACAAGAATTTGCCCTTTGTTATGGTTCATTCCTGAAATGTCCTCTAAAAGCTCATGTGTTGAAGGCTTGGTCACCAGTGCAGCAATGTGCAGAGGTGGAGCTCTTGGAAGTGCTTGGATCATGAGAGCTCTGAGCCTATCAGTGGATTAATCTATTGATAGCTGAATGGTCTACTGTGAGGGGGTAGAATCTGCATGCAGGTGGGCATAGTTGGAAAAGGAGGTCACTGGGGACATGCCCCTGGGGACTATAGCTTGTCTCTTTCCCCTTCCTCCCTCTGTCTATCCTGAACAGCCTTCCTCTGCCATTCCCTTCTGCCTAGATGTTTTATCTCACCTTAGGCCCACAGCAATGGAATTGACTGAAATTTCTGAAACTATGAGTCAAAATAAATCTCTTCTTTAAGTTGTTTTTGACAGGTGTTTTGGTTACAGTGATGAAAAGCTAACACCACTCATTGAAGATTATCTAGATGCAGACACATTATACATTACCTCATTTGGATATCATCATAATTTTGGAAGGTAAGGAGTATACCCAATTTACAGTTAAGAAAATGGAGATATAAAAAAGTTAAGCAACAGTCTCAAAATGGTAGAACCAGGAATTAAAACCCAAATCAATAGTCCCAAAATGGTAATGAGGCTGGGGCCAAAGAACAGTCAGTGTAGATTGGGTCAGGAAGATGGGGCTGATTCAAAGGAAATAAAATGCTAATACTTCCAGAGCGCTCCCCCCTCCTCCAATCTGTAGCCAAAGTTACCTGCCTCCAGGGAATTGTTCCTCCCAGCAAGGGGTTGGTAATGAGTAGCCCCTGGGTGGTCCCTTCCTGCCTGTACCCCTTGGTGGCTTCCTTTGGACCTTGGATCACTTCACCTTTGGGGTCCCATGGCAGGATGCAGAGGAGAATGAGAATAAAGGAAATCTAAAATCTATAAAAGGGCCAGGACACCTCCATTCCCTCAGGCATCAACTTGGACCTCCTCCTCTGCAGAGGATGTTCTCTCATTTAAATAAAACTTTTTACTCTTGGCTCAGCATTTCTCAGGTGTTCAATCTTCCACACCAGGGAATGGGATCCGGATGTGATTTTCAACACCAGTATCATCTCTGGTCTCAGTAGAACCAGAAATTAAACCCCAAATCCTGCCCTTTTCTGTGTGATATGTTTTATTTTTGTACTTGCTTTGATCCTGTTTTAGATGCCTGCTACTTAAAGACATGGCTACTTAAAGGGAAATATTCCTGACAGACGCAACCCCTATTCAAAACCACTGAAATGGACAAAAACCATGCTCCAAACCCTACAGACCGACCCCTCATTAGTTGTCCTGACAACCTATTATTTTATCATTTATGTTGAATAGAAAGATGGGATGCTTAAGTGGGTAAAAGGCAGAGGTCAAATGACAAAGGAATGTCAGAGAGTCAGAGAAGGGGTTCAGAGGGAAAGGAGGAATGGTGTGGATACTGAGGACAGAAGAGCCTCTTGGCTGCCCCTCCACAGCTCACAAGGCTGGAACTGTCGCATCAGGCTGAGGCTTGGCTTTGTGGAGTGTGCAGCTTGGATCAAAAGGTAATCATAACTAACCTACAACTAGTACCTACGTTATGCCAGGCACTCTTTTGAGTGCTGTATATTAATTAACTCAGTTAATCCCCACAAAAATCTAATTTTACCTGTTAGAAAATTGAAGCAGAGTTAGACTATGATTTCTACTTTACTGATGAAGAAACTGGAGCACAAAAAAATTGAGTGAATTGCCCAAGGTCAAGCTAACAAATGGTGGAGGTGGAATTTAAACTTAGGATTCTAGCTCCAGAGCTATATTCTCACTCATCACCATCTTCAGTGAAGTGAAGGCAACTGCAAGTTTAGAACTCCGGCTGGCCAGGTACCCAGTTTCTAATGCCCCCGTCTCCCCAGCAGCCACTAGCCCAGCACAGTGACACCCTGGTTACCTTCACCATCCTAAGGGTGGAGATACAGCTAACACAGATGACCCCACCTATTGGATGAGAAGGGAAGCAGGAAAGTTACTGATCTCCAACCAAATCAATCCCTGTCTCTGCCCTAAGAGTTTTTTTTCTTCTCCCTCTATTCTCCCAACCTCACTTCCCCAACACATTGAACCAAGTACTTTGCATGAATTAGGATTGTGAGGACTGGGAAATCTGAATAGAATATTACAGTTGTGTTGTAGTTATTTTTTGTTTGTTTTCCCTTTTTTCCTTTTTTGCACTAATTTTCACTATTTTAACCTTTTTTATTTTTCTTAATATATATGTGTGTCTTTCTACTTACTTGTCTACCCAAAATTACTTCCTCTCTCTTCTCCTGCTACTAATCTTCCTCTTTAGATTTCTTTCACATTTCCTAAGATATAATAACTCTATATCCTCACCTCCTATCTGTTCAGCATATCATCCTACTCCTTCACTCCCAGTTCTTTGTCCACCATCAGAAACTGTAAACTCTTTTACAAGCCTACTGAGTATATTGTAGATAATAATTGAATTCACCATTTCTGTACATTGTGACCAAACTGTAAAAGTCTTAATAACAAACATTTGTTTTTAGGGTGTATATTATTTATATTGGGTTCTGCTAACATTGTCCTCAAAGGACAGGTATTGGAATCCTACAGGGGCACTATAATCCTATAGGGTAAAAATGGTAACACCTCAGATCCACAGTGCTAGAGGGGAAGATACACAAGCAATATGAAAAGACAAGGGAAGAAAGTGCCCAAACAAACCAAGATACCACATTATTAGAATCCATGGCCAGCACAACAGAAGAAATGACAGAGTATGAGTTCAGGATGTTCATAATTAAAATGTTCTGTGAATTAAAGGATGTTATAAGAAAGCTAATACAGGCAGCAAAAGATCATTTTGACAAAGAGATACATAAACAAATATAGGAAGCAAAAGATTATTTCAATAGGGAGATAGAAGTTCCAAAGAAACAAAATGGAAATCCTTGAAATGAAAGAAACAATAAACCAAATTAAAAGTTTAATTTAAGGCATCACCAACAGATTAGACCACTTGGAAGACAAGATCTCAGACAATGAAGATAAAATATATAGTCTTGAAAAGAAGGTAGACAACACAGTGAAAATGGTAAGAAACCATGAGCAGAACATTCAAAACAAATATGGGATAGCATAAAAAGATGAAATTTAAAAGCTGCTGAGATAGAGGAAGGCATAGAGTTCCAAACCAAAGTATTGAGCAATCTGTTCAATGAAATAATATCAGAAAATTTTCCACACATGAAGAATGAATTGGAAAACCAAATTCAAGAGTCTTACAGGACTCCAAGTGTACAAAATTACAATAGATCCACACCAAGGCATAGTATAATGAAAATGCCTAACATACAGAATAAGAAGAGAATATTAAAAACTATGAGAGAAAGGAATCAGATTACATATAAGGGGAGATCAATTAGATTATATGCCGATTTTTCAACCCAGACCCTGAAAGCTAGAAGTTACTACAACAACATATATCAAGCTTTGAAAGAAAATGGATGCCAACCAAGAATCTTATATCCAGCAAAATTAAACTTTAGATTTGATGATGAAATAAAAACCTTCCATGATAAACAAAAGTTAAAAGAATTTACAACTAGAAAGCCTGCACTACAGTACATCCTCAGCAAAATATTCCATGAAGAGGAATTGAAACACAACAATGAAAATCAGCAAAAGGAGGTATTTCAATAAAGGAAAAGCTAATCAAAGGATAAACCAAGTCATGTTAAACACCAAAAATAAACAAAAATGGCTGGAAATACAAATCATGTCTCATTAATAGCTCTGAATGTTAATGGCCTAAACTCACCAATCAAAAGACATAGTCTGGCAGATTGGACTTAAAAAAAAAGACCCAACAATATGCTGCCTCTAAGAGGCTCATCTCATAGGGAAGGGCATCCATAGACTGAAGGTGAAAGGTTGGGAAAAATCATGCACTCACATGGGCTGCAGAAAGAAGCAGGGGTTTCCATCCTCATATTAAATAAAGTAGATTCAAAACAAATTTAATAAAAAAGAATATTTCATATTCTTAAAGGAACCATTCATTCATCAATAAGACATAGCAATAAAAATTTATATTACCCAAACAATGGAGCATCTATGTTCATCAAACCAACTCTTCCCATGTTCAAGAGTCAAATAGAACACAATAATTCTGGGTGACTAGAAGACACTATCTGGTAATTCTAGAAGACATCTTCTGAAACCCACCAACCAAGAAAAGCCCTGGACTACATGGATACACAGCTGAATTCTACAACACCTTTAAAGAAGAACTAATACCTATACTCTTCAAATTATTTTGTGAAAAATAAAAAGAGGCAGCACTTCCAAACTCATTCTATGAGGCCAATATCACCCTGATTCCAAAACCAGGCAAAGACACATCAAAGAAAGAAAACTTCAGACCAATATCTCTAATGAACATGGAAGCAAAAATTCTCAATAAAATTCTGGTAAATCAAATACAAAAACGTATCAAAAAGATAGTGCACCATGATCAAGTGGGGTTCATCCCAGGGATGCAAGGTTGGTTTAGCATATGGAAATCAATAAATGTAATTCATCACATCTATAGACATAAAGAACCATATGATCATCTCGATAGATGCAGAAAAAGCATTTGACAAAATACAGCACCCCTTCTTGTTCAAAACACTAGAAATCTATGGATAACAGGAACATATCTCAACATTGTAAAAGCTATCTATGCTAATTCCCAGGCCAACATCATTCTAAATGGAGAATAATTTAAAGCATTCCCTCTAAAAACTGGAACAAGAGAGGGATGCCAGAACTGCCATCTTGCAGTGATCTGCCAAAATGATGAATGTAAAGGGGAAGAGGAGAGGCACCTAATGGATGTGTGTTCTCTAGACCTTTTAGAAAATGCAGACTTGTCAGGGGCGGTGGCACATGCCTGTAATTCCAGCAGCTCGGGAGGCTGAGGCAGGAGGACCGCAAGTTCAAAGCCAGCCTCAGCAAAAGCGAGATGCTAAGGAACTCAGTGAGACCCTGTCTCTAAATAAAATACAAAATAGGGCTGGGGATGTGGCTCAGTGGTCCAGAGCCCCTGAGTTCAATCCCTGGTACCAACCCCTTTCCAATGCAGACTTGTTCCTTTAGCCACATACATGTGACTCTAAAATAAAGATGATATGTAAACATCAATAGAATTGATGCCCCACAAATGTTACCAAGGCAGAACTGGAGGTCTATTATGTTACCCAGAATGCTGTTGGCATTTCTACAAACAAACAAGGGCAAGATTTTTGCCAGAGAATTAATGTGTGTATTGAGCACACCTAAAAGCTAAGATACCTTCCTGAAAGGCATCAAGGAAAATAATGAGGAAAACGAGGAAGACAAAAAATACCCGAGTTTAACTGAAATGCCAGCATGCTCCACCCACAGCAGCACACTTTGGGAGAAATAATGGAAAGAGATTGAACTTCTGGAACCTATTCCCTATG